TGATCTCCTCTGACTTCTTCAATCCCATGTTCTGTGGGGAACCGCACTAGTTGATGCAACGTTGAGGGAACTGCCCCCATTGCATGCAACCATGGCCTTCCCAAGATGATGTTGTAAGGTGAAGGCGTGTCAATCACGACGAATTCTGTTTTGATCTTCTTCTAACTGCTCTTGCAAGATTCTATACTTAGAATATTGTGCATGGCTTTCATACTTTGCCTCCTTTGTGCAATCTTCTCGGGGTTACATACCTCGGGTATAATAGCTACAAAACTTTTACTTCGGCAAGATACTGACCTGCAAACTTTTCATAAATTCTAACAAGTGTGAAACATATACTACTCAATGTTAACTTTGCAAGCTTTTTCTCAAGTTTCAACAAGTGTTTAAACGGTGATCTCGATCTAGCCTACTTGTAAATTGCTACAAATTTCAACAAGGATTAACATATACTGTAACAGGGATCAACAAGGATTAACATAACAAGTGTTAAACAATAATCTATTTGTAAATTGCTACAAATTTCAACAAGTGTTTAAATATACTTAGCTCTTTCCTCAACCTGTAAATTGCTGCAAATTTCAACAGGTGATCATATGTCGGCTTAACGTTATCTTGTAAATTGCTACAAATTTCAACAAGTGTTTAAATATACTTAGCTCTTTCCTCAACCTGTAAATTGCTGTAGATTGTTACAAGTGTTTAGCAATAACCTCGATTTTGCTTCAACTCGTAAATTGCTACGAATTTAAACAAGTGAAGAGAAACAGTAATCTCAGCTTAACTTCAACTTGTAAATTGCTACAAATTTCAACAAGTGAAGATAACGAACCATCTCGGCTTAACTTCAACTTGTAAATTGCTACAAATTTCAACAAGGATTAACATAACAAGGGTTAAACAATAATCTATTTACGAATTGCTACGAATTTCAACAAGTGAAGATAAGAAACCATCTCGGCTTAACTTCAACTTGTAAATTGCTACAAATTTCAACAAGCGAAGA